TGGTTTTGCCATGTTGGTTATGCTGGTCTCAAACTCCTGACCTCATGATCAGGAGGCTCAAATGTGTTTTATTTGATCAGCAACATTTTCGAGGAATTTGAATATACATGCTTTTTAGAAGGGTACATACTTCCTAAGTCAGCCAGTCCTCAATAGTCCCTAATGTCTCATGTCTGCTGCTGTTGATTTTTAAGCTGCCCAACTCCTGAAGACGTTGGATTTAGGACTTGTCTTTACAAATGCTTATTTCCCTCTTTGATCTTTCTGTTAGTTTTCTGTAGATGGGGCTCCTTCATTGAGACAGAGATTGAATCATTTCTAGGGCTTTTTCTAATTCTGATTTTTTTTTCCTTCTATATAAATAGTGCAGAAATACAACCTTCTAAAAGAAGTTACCTTACCTAACAGGGATAGGTTCACAAAGAGAGCTCCATTCTATCTATAAAGCCAAAGCTCAAGTCCACAATGTCTTTTACATGACAAGGCAACTCCCTATTTTCTATGAGAGTAAAGTAGATAATGCAGCACTGTGCCCTGGATCTGCAGGGAATACAGGCTGGTCGAAGTTCACAGCTACAATTCCTCATTAGGAATCGTCCTTGAGCCGGCCTCACCCAGGGTAGCATCCTCCCTCAGGGGGAGGCTGATGAAGGGTCACAGAGTCCAGACCTCCTGTTCTCAATGAGGGACAATTCTGAAGGGTCTTCCTAGCTCCTCATTAGAATCTGTCATTGCAACTGCATTGTAGGTCTACTCTCCTGCCCAATCCTGCCTTCCTCACCCTCTTAGGTGTATTTCCTGAGGACTGTCTACAATAAACTTTTTGCCTTGACTCTGTATCTTAAGAGTCTGTTTCCAGAGAACCCAATCTAGGACAAGGAGGGAACCACGGTACAGAAAGACTGATTTTTTTGCCCCTGCCATACCAACAGGCAAAAATAGATACAGTACTGGCAACAAAATGCATAGATCACATTATGCTGCCATGAAAAGAATGCTTAGAAACCATCTAATGCAATCCAACCTTTTCCAGATATGAAGACTGAGAGAACCAAAGTGACTTGCTCAACGTATCATAAGCTAATTAGGTGAGAAAACTTGGACCAGAATGCACATCTGTGGCCCAATCAGGCAGGCTACAGAATTTCAGCATTTAATCAGTTCCCAGAAAACCTCAGTAACACATGAGACTCAAACTCAACTTTGAGAATTTGTAGCCGATATCGGAAATGATTTCCTAAGTCTATCCTCCATGGAAAATGCCTCATTGTGACCTCCTGCTATAAGAAGCCATTGAACTTTCTGCGTTGAGCTATCAACTGAATACAGGAGTCGAGTCTGTACTGGGGATAGTACTACACTTTATTAACAAAACAGAACCATACAGGCAAAATCTTACTTCGGTGGAAAAGCACACATGGGTACACCCCAACATGTAGCACTGGGGCAAACTTCAGACATGGAACATTAGGCACCAAGTTCACAATCAGACTAAACATTGTTCACAATCCTTCAATCCATACTCTTCAGTGGAGTATGAGGTCTTATTTAACAGTTAACTGTGACAGACAGACAAAAGTTTTAAAATCGAATTCTTGGCCTAACTATGGAGTGGGGCCGACTCAGCCTTCAAAACTGTGAAGTGGATGCCTTAACAGGGCCAAGATCTGTCAGCCTCTAAAAGTGACTTTCATATCTCTGGTTCAGAGACAAGGCTTATGGTATCTTCATGTTGGATGAACTCACATATGGTGAGAGTTCTCAGCTCCAATTTCTTGCCTAGGCACATCTGGACTGGAATTCATTCTGATACCCAATCCGTAGATTAATAGGGTTAATCTAATTAGAATAAATCAAATGGTGTTCCAAAAAGTTGAAAAGGGTAAATCACATACTTATAACTTCTTCAACATTCAAGAACTTAAATATGTTAGCAAACTGAGTACTGTTCAAACTGTTACCAGTTAAGGAATTTAAATCAGCATTTCCCAAAAGGTGTGTCAGGACTGAGTTAATCAGTAAGTTAATAGAAACAACTGCAATAGATTAGGGAAAAGATTTCTCAAAGCAGTTTGATAGAATATGTGGCAACTCCTTATGTAACGGAGCACATCCAATACATTCTCAAAACTCCTAAATTAGCTGAAATGCAAGGTAAAGAACAGCAGAAAACTCCAGCTCTTGGGATAGGCAAAACTTGGAAGATTTATGTGCTCACACCAGGGTCCAGCAACTTAGGTTTAAATTCATAAGGTTAAATGATATAATAAACTTGGGTTGGCTGGTTTCCCCTGGCAATTGTTAATTCCCCTTAAATAAAACATATATTGATACATTTTAAAAAGAAGTATTTTATGGTTGAAACCTTGGGAAAGGGCCTTTAAAAATCGTAGTTTTTAATATGGGAAAACAAGAGGTGGGCACCCTTCTGGGCTGACATTACTCCTAAGATAGAGAACTTAGTCTTCATGTATAAAATGACTCAATTAAATGTCTTTTATAAAACTTAACAACTAAAGCAAGTGAGCTTGCTTTAAGAAAATTAGAGCCCTAATTTCTTTTCTGTTTGGCAGTCTCAACAAATAACAGTCAAATTTATCACGTGTATTTCAGTACTTATTTAAGAGAAATTGGCATGCTACGCTAATATTTATGCAGAGGTAACCACGTTGAAGACATATGTAAGTTGAGGGGTATGTCTAACTCTATGGACGTAGGAAAAAAAGAAAAAAAAAAAAACACATATGTCCCTAGAGGCCTTCAGACAGCCAGGGGGCACCTGAAGAAAAGAAAACTGCTGCTTTCCTGGAGTTGAAATAGAATTTTATAACTGGCAAGGATCACCTGGTGTCTAGCTGCCTTCCAGGGGGAAGAGAAGATGCCAATTGCAGTTGGTCTCACACAGAGCTAAGTGGGGAGATGTCCTGGGGGACAGTCCTGCCATTATTTGCCTCTACTCAACTGGAAAGCTGCACATAAGTCACAGCAAGTCAGTTTCAACATTCTCACTCAGTTAAATACTCTCCTCCATAAGAAGTTAAAGAGGAGAAACATACAAATAAGTGAGCACTGAGACTAGATGTCTAGAAAAGTCAGAGGAATTAGAAGTGGTCAGGAGATCCCTGAGGCAGCAGCCCACAAAGATGTCCCCATTCTGGTCTGAGGGTCTGCATGCCGCTACCCCCAACACTGCTTTCCTTTACTATTTCCTGATCCAAAGTGGAGGCTGCTTCCTCCAGGAGGCTGTGAGCCTCTAGGCTCTATAATGACACTTCACCATCACCTAAGGGAAGGAAAAGGACAGTCACAAGCTGGGCCTTCACCTACTCCACCTCTACAGAGAGAAAGTCAAATGCTTTGTTTCTGAAATCATCAGGCATTTTGCATTGAAGAGAATAAAAACAGGACACAGAAATTGTTTCTGATGAGCAAATCACCTTTAACTTTTTGAATTTAAGTGATCACAAGGCTTATTCTATCAATTAACATGAGTTGGTTTACACAAACAAATGAGATGGAGCTTGATCTTACTGAAATTAATTAGGTGATTCTTTGAGTTGTTTTTACTTTAATGATGATTGGAACTAAGCCGAAGGTAGTTAATCAGAGTGCACTTAAAAACGGCCCAATGACACAGCCTTTAAACTTCTCAATATTTTCAATACCACCATTGGGTGGTATTGAAAACTGTTGGGCAGGCATATGCATGAAACTTCAAAACCGTGGCAGTAGCTTGTATTTGTACATAATAAACCCTAAGGCAGTTACTGAAGCGGTAAATCCAACTATTTTCATGAGGCCAGGAACAGATGGCAGGTTTCTCTCCCAGAAGGTGTGGGTGATTTCCACCGCTGGAACATCCTAGATGAAGGAACACAGATCATTAGGAAAAAACTCATGCTGACAAGGAGAAACAAAACACATCTGTAAGATTCATGCATGGAGATCCCTTGGATAGTTGCATCTATAATAAATCAGAGGCTAGAAGAAGGGAGATGTGAGTTTTATGTTCCATGATTGGTCTAAGGAGATGGTGTCCAGAGCTACCAAACGTACCTTTGATTCAGGTTCTTTTACCCAGATGTCCTTCTTGGCCACCTTCCCAAGTGCATTTAAAACCTGAAAGAAAGTGACCATGGTATTATGAAAAGAGGTTGTATAGTTTCTACAGATTTAAGGCTCTGGTAGCCACAGATGAGCCCCATGAGTGAGGGGCAGAGAAATGGACATATAGATTCTATCAGTGTCAAGACTAGCAAAACCAGATGCCAAAAACGTCACCGTGACTCAGGAGGGAGAGAGTCTCGGCTTCCCTGCTTACCTCCCTGGCTGCTCGTTCTCCAGCCTCAACTGCCCCTTCCATGTAGCCACTCCACTGTGTGGCAGTCTCCGTGCCAGCAAAAAAAATCTTATCCACAGGTTGACGAATCACCCTTCAAGAGAACCAAGAGGTCGCACAGAGTTACTTGGGAAGATGGGCAAGGTAAATGAGCCAACCATTGTCCTCATTTAGTCTGCAGAAGGCATGGAAATTCAGACTGTTAGAAAAAACACCTGTATGCCTCAGCCCAAGGTGAAAGGCCACTTTTTGCTTCCTGGGTCTGCATAGAAGATCTGAACTTTCAAGGCAGGGAGAATCAGGCTGTCAGATCATCGATCTCTAAAAGTGATGTTGACCTTTTCCAAGCCAGTCAGAGCTGGAATATAGACCATGCATTCAATCCCCAAATCAGATTTCTTTGCTATGTTTTCTGCTGGCAGTCCATTCTGCTCCCTATCCTGTCTTTCTCAGGGGAGGGGGCTCTCTTTTTGAGGACAGCCACAGACCCAACTTTGCAGGCATTCCCAGTGTGTGAGGAGGAACTGCAGTGGCAAGTGGAAACACAGGGAGGTTAACTATCATTTCTGGCAAAGGAGAGACCTGAGAGATTATATGGGTATGTCTCTTTAAGAAAACACCACCTCTGTACAGTTAGCTTCTCTGAACTTCTCTAGGGGCTGGCTGGGGGCAACAAAATGGGTCTCCTCTTACAAAGAGGTCCTGCCAAAGAGAACCAAAGAAGGGCTGGACTCAATGGACAGCTCTCCCCTCCAGCTTTCTTGGCTTTGACTCCTGCCATGTCCACAGCTAGTTTCATGAACTCTCCCAAGCTGCACGTCCTGCCCTCATCCTGATGGCCTTCACCTCTACCCATTGGCACTCCTTACCCTGGGCTTTATCTATTCCTTATCTTAGTCCTGTCTTGTAGACTTCTACTTTGGTACCAGAACAAATCCAGTTCCTCAATCCTGCCATTGTTAACAAAGTCGATTTGATTCAATTAAGAAAAAAAAAACCAAAGCTCCTGTAAGAAAAAGGTTAACAAATACTTCTTCCTTTTCGGTGAACAAATGTGATCTTGTGTTAACTTTCTAGCTCTGTTACTCTGGAAACCAGATGAAGGTGTAATGCCACCTGTGGAGGCAACGTGCTAAAAGTGCCTCTCCACCCCACCCACGTTAGCAAACCATGCAAGCTGGGAAGACTCTGAATGATTTGTAAATACCTGTTACGAGGCTATCACTTTCGGTTTCCCTGAGTGTGGTGTCTCTTGTAACTGAGCAAGTCTTATAAATGAGCAAGTTACTAGACACTATGCTATGAAGCATAGAGACAATGGTTCCCATGAAGCAAGGGGCTTCTAGGTCAAGGTGGACTTCCCCACCCCACGTGGATCTCATTTACTCACACCTCAACTGTATACAGTGAGAACTCTTCTCCTGAAGAGGACTGTCTCATGCTGCTCTGTTGGCAAGATAGATGTGTTAGATAAACACGTCCAATATCCTTCTGTGTTGACTGGTGCCAAGGAGCCTAAGGCAGTCGTGTGAGACTAAATGTCAAGCAGAGCTCAAGGAGGACACTGCAGCTTCCTTCATTCTCACAAGCACTGTTCACATCTGAAATCCTCCCCAGTGTTCCGCTATTGTTCTATATGCTGACAGTTATTTTTCTATGTACTGACATCCTTATTTTTCTATGGACATCCAGAAATATGCAAGTGTTAACTATGACATAAGAAATGGGGATTTTGACAACTATTTCTAGAATTCCCATTGAACTCTGCATTTCCTTTTAAATTTGGCACAGGTCTTGGATTAGCTGGCGTAGTGCTTGGGTCATACCTTCCATACTGAGTCATGATCCCAGGCGGAAAATAGGCCGTGTAGCAGCCCCCAGAGTACTGCTCCTCACACCAGTTCTTCTCTTCATAATGCACTGGCTGTAGTTCAGTGGGGGAGAAAATGCCAAAGAGAAAACAAAGCTGAAATGCTGCAAGCCCACAATACTGTTGCTTTACTTTAACAAAAAGTTTACATTAAGAAAATAAAGAAGATCCTGTTTCTCTAACTCATTTAAGGGGAAGCATGATAGTACCAAATAATGGCCTTTTGTGAAGTACCATGTGGCAAAACATGTATACTTTGGTCTTCTCATTTTCTTGATTAGGAAAGACATGAAGTATTCCAGTATCTGGGCGATAGGGGTATCCATCCCTCCATGGAGATTCTGAAGTCTCTTTAGAGCTAAGTGTATAGGAAACCCCATTAACGATTCGGCTGCTCAAATCTCTGGAATCTCTAATAACAGGTTTACTTCCCCATCTACCAGCCATTATTGCTGAGAAAAGGGTGGGAGGGAGGAGGTAAAAGACTAACGAATGTCTAAAAAAGGCTTTTTTCCCAACCAGCTTCTCTAAGCTGGACACCTGAATGATGGGAATTCCACCAAAAAGGGGCAATTAATATAAAAGATGTTTCCTAAGGGACATGTAAGAACCTTCTCTAATTTCCCTGGCACATTCAGAAAGTTTTATTATTTGAACAATTCAGAGATAACCCCCTGAAAGAGCCCCCAGCTATTGATATTTTTTGTTTCAAAAAGACGTAATTTCATTCTCCTAATTGCTTTCAGTGGTGGACTGCAAGCACTGATGTTCCTAAACGAGCTGTGAATCGAGTTCACACATGGAAAAATAAATTAGTATGACTTTGACCTGGGAAGAGATTCTAGATTCAGTCTATTTTGTCAAGTACATACTACTTTGCCTTCACCAACAAATGATGCCATATCTGGAATTTAATTGTGCAGCAGGTAAGTGACACTGGCAGGGGGCAGGACCACTGTTCTGGGAACCCATCTCACCCATTCTTGACATAATGCCTTCAGCTCTAGGCTCTGATTACAATTGGCTGCCAGTTATCTAGTGAACATTTAAAAAGCCCAAAGGAGTTGCTGTCTCAGAAAATCCAGGCACCTCACACCAGCTTTTAATGACCTTTTGTGACTGCTGAAGTTTATCTTCCAAGTTAAGCATATCCCTTTATACTCTCCTTCATAAGACTGTCAAAAAATCAGCATCTGCTTTGCTTTACCACTTATACTGAGAAGAACCTGCTAGGGATTAAAGCTGGGAGTTTCTTACATCTAAAGCTTCTTGGGATCCTAGCACTTTCGCATAGAGCTCACAGATTTTCTTCTTCCTATAAAAAAGAGCCAAAAAAAAAAAAAATTAGAGAAGGAGTAGCTGATGGGTATAGAATAAATCTAGTAAGTTCCAGGGCTTTTGCTCATCAGTCAGATTTGTTACAGAAAAATTCAAATCAATGGCCTTCTGTAACTGCACAAATGAACAGTTCCCTGAATCCCTGCATTCAAATTAGCTTTCAATGCCTCAATACAGTCATTTGAGGATTCAATGGAATTATTATTTTCTTTTTTATATTTTTGCCTCTTTTACTACCTAATACGATACCTGCTCAAGATAAAAATGGGAAAAATAGATTCAATTAAGTTTAGCCAGTCTTAGGAATTGATTCCATGTAACTTTTCTGGAATATGTACAATTCAAAAATGGCCCCTTTTATAAGGCTATAGTATAAGTGATGGTGTATTTTAACTATCCTATACTTGTGTTTTAATTACCTACAAACATATAAAGCTCATTTAATCATTTATTTTAATTTTTCATTTTATTCAAAGTTGTTACAGAATTGCTAACATTTCCATAAAATAATTACTATACTTCAGTTACAGAAAATACCACAGAAAGAAATATACTTTGAAAGAAATATAGTTCATCTTAAGGTTTCCAAATATTTTTGAAGGCTAATGCAGCAGCTGGCAAAATAACACACAGTACACAAAGAACAGTGTATTTTAGTGTCAGTAATGCAAACTGACAGGTCTTTAGCAGATATGCTTCATTTTTTTCATTTTTAAACAATAACATTTTAAAAAACACATGAAACCATGATCATATATGTTTACAATTTAAAAAAATCAGATTGTACACAGTAGGTTAGAAGAGACAAGTTAGAATTGTCATAATTTTGACAATCTTAAATCTACAATTTCAACTGTACTCCTTTCGATATAGAAATAACGTGCTTTATGCCAAATTGCTTGCAATTAAAACACTGTACAATGAGATGGATCCAATTAGTCAAACCTTAAAATTAAAAAAGCTGCAGACAACAGAGGACTGGAAATCCATTTCCATGTCATCTTTTAAGCATAAGTTATGCTATACTGAAAGTGTCTACAGTCATTTCAGTACAGGAATTTGTCACTGGACAGAATGGTCTGTGGACCACAGTATTCCAAACTGTACCTGAGGGATGGGCACAATATGCTAATGTTACCTCAAACACAGCCTTTGGTTAGTCTCACAATTCATTATCTAAATGACTAGCCCAGAACACAGTATTTTCATGTCTGAAAAAATCAGTGGTTGTACTTATGTAAACTCTTTTTGAAATGAAATACATTTTAAACTCACAACTACTCATGGTGAAGTTTTTTAAAAGGTCTAATTTACTAAAATCACCTGTTTTAGAAATTAATGGTTTTATTTCTGGATTTGTTTGCATAGGTTCACACTGATCCAGTTATATACTTTTCCTATTTACTTTTTATAGTTTTTATATAGTTTAAACATTTGAAAATGCTCTAAAATATTTGTTAAGGGATAACAAGCAACTGGAAAAATATTTGCTTAAAAATGTGGCAAAAGGTTTGAGTCAAATCTATAAGACAAGTATTAAAAGCTGAAGAGACAAAATTATGCAGCGGGGAAGCTCAAGCTTACTGGTAATAAAGAAATAGAGATTGAGGAATATACAATTTTATGTTGTCAATTACATTAGAAAATATTTTAAAGACATGCCCCTAATTTCTCTGAATAATGTGGGATAAAATGTAACCTTATAAATTTATCTAAATGCTCACACTTATACCATTTATATAACTTCCAGAACACTCACCTCATAAGTATAAAGTTAGGAGGAGAAGGCAGATTATAAACATTGCTTATTGTCACCATTTTCCATGGAAGGTTTCAAGGGAAAGACAAATGCCACTCCTGAGATGATGTCATGCAACATTAGGTAGATATTTAGGTGGATAAATTCAAGGATAGTCAGAGAAAGTTTGGTTTCCTTCAAAGAACTGCTACATTATACATAAAAAGTCATAAAGGAAAGGAAGAATGGGAAGAAGTCTCAAGACTACTGTCTGCCTGTCTGTCTCTCTCAGTCTGATTCAAGCCCCTCATTTCAGAGATGAGGAAGCTGAGGCTCAGGGAGCTGCAGAGATTTATTTGATTTTGCTCAGCTAATTAGCAGGGTAAGGCCCTACCCTTCTGAGTAATCTGCCCATAGTAGGTACTCAATAAATATTTGTTCAGTCAAAATCCATCCTCAGTCTAATATGACACCCTCTTTGCCTAGTCTATGAAGAGATGACTGATTCTAATACCTACTTCGCAAGGGTGTTATAAGCAATAATTCAGACATTTTGAGTTAATTAGAAATAAAAGTATTGGCAATGATTATTCTACAAAAGCTCACCAGTACTTAACTTATTACTATTATTATTATTTCTGAGATAGAGTCTCACTCTATCACCCAAGCTGAGATGCAGTGGCATGATCATGGCTCACTGCAGCCTGAACCTCCCTGGACTCAGGTGAACCTCTTGACTCAGCCTCCCAAGTAGCTGGGACTACAGGTACATGCCACCATGCCCAGCTAATTTTTCTATTTTTTGTGGAGATGGGGTTTTTCTATGTTGCCCAGGCTGGTCTTCAACTCCTGCGCTTAAGCAATCTGCCCGCCTCAGCCTCCCAAAGTGTTGAGATTACAGCTGTGAGCCTTCCCTTTACAATTAAAATTTTTTGGAAAAGATGTAAGGCAAGGATGTTAAAAACAATGCACTGATTGATTAATTTGGCTCTAAAAATGACAGAACCTAAGTGACGGCCAAAAGAGGCCACTGGGCAAATTATCCTGTTGAACTTATTAACTGGTTTCTAAATCTGGTTGCTTATCATAATCACCTGAAAAGCTTGTTGAAAAATACAAATACTCAGACCCCACCTCAGACCTACTCAATCACAATCTATAGGTCTTATAAAAACATATTTTCCAAACATTCTTTGAGATATTTTGATGCAGTCAGATCTGGGAACCACTGTTCTTGTCAATGACATATTCAGTAAGAGTTTTGCTTTACAAGAACTTTTGAGAAGTTCAGCCACTGTGTGGAATCATAACCAAATGTCTACCTACAGGCTGGTATTTATTTTACTATTAATAAGGAGGGAAAGCAGGAAATCCAAAAGAAAATGTCAGCTTAGAGTGGTGTAATGAAAAAGTATGCATTATATGCTACTCCTGGCTTTGTCACAAGCTAGCTGCGATGATTTGAATGTATGTGTCCCTCCAAAATTCAAATGTTGGAACTTAACTTCCAAGGTCATGGTATTAAGAGGTAGGGTCTTTGGGAAAATGATTAAATCAGGAAGATTATGCCCTCATGAATAGATTAGTGCCCTTATAAAAGGGCTGGAGGAAACTAGCTAGGCCCTTTCTGCCCTTCTTCCTTCCTCCATGTGAGGACACCACCTTCATCCCTATTTGTCCTTCCCTCTTCTGTCTTTTCTGCCATGTGAGGGCACCATAAGAAAGTGCTACCTATGGAACAGGCCCTCGCCAAATACTGAACTGAATCTGCTGGCATCATAATCTTGGACTTCCCAGCCTCTAGAACTGTGAGAAATAAATTTCTATTCTTCATAAATAACCCAGTTTGGGGCATTTTGTTATAGCATCACAAATGGACTAAGACACCAGCTATGTAGCCTTGAAAAAATCATTCCCCATCACTGGACCCCAAATCCCTCCTCTATGGAGGAAGTAGAGTTTATTTTAACAACCATGAGATACAACAATCTCATGGTTGTTTGAATCTCATGGTTGTTGGGATTCAACCATTTACCACTTAGAGTGAACAGAGAAGAACCTGCTAGGGATTAAAGCTGGGAGTTTCTTCCATGTAAAGCTTACATGCAAACCATGAGATTGTTGAATCTCATGGTTGTTCAAATAAACAAATCTGTGTGCACATGTAGGAACTCATTCTGTAGCCTTTCCCCCACATCTAAAGTCATTAGAGTCACTCCCAAAGCAAGGGCTGCTAATGGGTTAGATGTTTAATTTTTTAAATTACATTCAGAGAAAAGTCTATATTTTGGTGTATGTATTGGACCTCTTTAAAAGCTAGCAAAGTATTTAGGGCTACCGTGAGGCATCCCTCCAACAGCCAAATAACTCTGATGTTAAAAGGCTTACCTCTCTGGGTAAGATTTTATTTGGACAAAGGATTCCAAAACAAAACAAAACAAAACAAATATACCATGACAGAAAGAGAAAAGGAGAAAGAAAGAAAAAGCCCAGATCATAAGTATGAGTACTTTCATGTACACAAGTTGCTACAGGTTAAAACACACTTTTTAGAAAGTCCATGTCAGAGAATCTTAGAAAAGGATTATGGCCTTGCAAGGGGATTGAGATTCAGTTTCTACAGCTTTTTTCACAGTGAATATTTTCTGTGACTTTTTCTCCATCCATCTCACTGGGAAATCCTACCTCTTAACCACTGTAAAATCAATACAAACATGTAAAATTAAATTTGTATATGCACACGGGCAAGGGATAGGTCAAGACGACTGTAGCAAAATACAAAAGGTTGGTTTGTTGGAATTTTGAGAATATTTGTGAAATATTGTGTTTTTCCTCATGTTATTCTACTACTGTCAGTGCAAAAACACAATATAAAGCTAACTTTTAAATCTATTTTTCAGTTATAAATCCTTACCTTACTTCCTTATGAAGCTTAGCAAGTCGATCAGCTTTCCGGGCAAGAATGAAGCTGGAGAGAGAGGTTACATTGAATAATCAGGTTACAGCTGTTTATCTTAAGAGCTGCCCTTTCTTTTTGAAGTATTCTTGACCTGTACCTATTCAGCATTAAATGAACTCTATCAGACCCTCTTCCTCTACTAGAGCAAATGCCACGTTGTCTTTGGTCTGCCTATGTGTCCAAAACCCCTGCTAGGCTGTGTTCTCCTACATGACAGGTGACCTGCTATTCAGTATTTTCCTTCTAAAAGTTTAACATGGTTTTTGGCATAGTAGGAAATCAAATGTTGAATGAATTAATGTTGCACTAAATGATTATTCTGGTAATGACTGTTGCCCTCTGCCAAATACTTTATAAAAGCTGGAAAAACAAATATAAACATGTGCCTGTAGTGGAGGCCACGGTGGGCTCCCCAGGCCTCCCTTTAGGACCAGGCTCTCCTTACTCTTTAGCTCACAGCTGAAACCTTCCCCAGTAACTGAACGGGGCAGCAGAGAGTGCCTCGCTCAAGGTCCCACCCCTCCCCAGAGTTGTCCTGATCTAGGCTGTTGAAGACAACTCTGAAGAGCCACCCAGCTCCAGAACTTCTAAGGAGGCCTTTGTTGGGACAACACTGGAGCTCAAGTTCTGCTTCATCCTTCTGCCATAGGTGGTCATCCTCAGAGCACTGTCCAATAAATCTCCAGCACCTCAATCTCCAGCTCTGAGTCAGTTTCCCTGGAAACTGACCTAATGTAGTCCCCAAATAAAGTAACTCAATAAAACTCAGTTGTAACCTGCCTGCTCCCCTTTAATCAAATAGATTCTATTTATTATATTCATATTACTAACTGCATGTGTATTTGAAAGAATTGAATTGTGACATGAAGTCCTTAGTTATCCTATTATAAGAAAGCTTTCAAAAATCCAAATGAGCTAAAGGACAATGTAATTACTTTTCCATTAAAAAAGTTTTAAATTTGTATTTCGTTTATTCAAGACCAAAAGGACAAGTAGATCAGTGCAAAAAAAAAAACTTCCTTCTCTCCCTACCCCCAAATTAAAGTGTTTCTCAAATTGGATTGGCAGTTCCTTTACAACTGTTATTTGAGATCACTCTGAGAAGCAAAGGTGTATGTTAATGCAGAAAACAGTAATTCAGAGAAAGCTGTGGACTATTTAGGAAATTTGAACTATTGAACTTTATGGGATATAGTCATAATTTTGTATGATTTAACACCTTAAGTTACAGCTTGTTATTAATTATTTTAGTTAGATTTTGGGCTTATGCAAGAATCAGTAAGTTTAGATGTGTGTAGCATTTTTTAATCATCAATATCCGATAAAAGATTAAATGATTTATCTGTAAACATTAGTCAACTCGTCTTGTATACTTTTTACAATTCCCTTCCCAAAGGGCAGTTAGTGTTGGTTATTTCTGTGAAGTCTCAAGTCATGAATGAAATAATCTCTTTGATCTAATCCCAACTATGGATAAATAAGCTTTAACTTACTTTGGTGTTTTATTGAGGAAATGAAATATGCTGGCTTTGTGTTGGAAATATTTCACAAAGTACATGGTCCTTTCTAGTTTCCAAACGGCTATTACAGACACAGTGCTGGGCAATTACCACCCCTATCTTCAAGGTTTTCGTGGCTGTGGCCATGAGCAAAGAGCCGGGTAGCAGCAAGTGTCCAGATAAAAGGGATTAGAATATCACTTTCTAGGAATCGCCTAAATAACTCCATTAACCCCTGGAAGGTTATTTGAGCCCTGAATAACCTAGATACTAACAAAGCTGAAGAAAGTCCAAAAGCACTGTATACATAAAAACTTGCGCCAGCTCAAGCCTGTAATCCCAGCACTTTGGGAGGCCGAGGCAGGTGGATCATGAGGTCAAGAGATCGAGACCATCCTGGTCAACACGGTGAAACCCCGTCTCTACTAAAAATAGAAAAAATTAGCTGGGCATGGTGGCGCGTGCCTGTAATCCCAGCTACTCAGGAGGCTGAGGCAGGAGAATTGCCTGAACCCAGGAGGCGGAGGTTGCGGTGAGCCGAGATCGCGCCATTGCACTCCAGCCTGGGTAACAAGAGCGAAACTCCGTCCCAAAAAAAAAAACTTGCACCTACAACCAGTGCTCAGTAAATGGTAGCTTTAATTTTTAACACCTCATCGTCGAGTTAAGAAACAGGTTGTTTTGCTATTCCTCAGTTTCTAAGGAAACTCTTGTCTTCTATACTTGGTCCTCTCTAACCAATTATTATTATTTCATATTTGTTTTAGCCCCACTGTCCACAGAACACAACTGTTTAACATTTTCCTTTTATGCTATTTATCTTAAGTAAAATCATTAAAATACTGAGTTCCATTTTCAAAAAAAAAAAGAAAGCACCAAATGGCAGAAGACATCACTACATCTAACTTCCAGGGCAAGAAAAACATCAATGCTCTTCCATTCATAGTTGGATTGGTCTTAACTGACATTCTCCTGAAACCTGTACCTGAATTTCCTGCTTTTCTCTGGCATATAGAAGGTGATGTCAAACCACCCAAACAACCTATATCCTTTCTTGCCCAATGGAGTTAAAGAGGATGTGTTATTCCAATGGTCACTATGTTGTAAACACCTGCCTTTCTCAGGGAGGCTGGTGTATTTCTTACATGTTACAATGAGAGAAGTGGTTATAAGATGTCTCATTAGTAACAACCTGCTTTCTAAGTCCCTTGGGATGTGGGTCTGCTCCTTTTGTCTTTGTAATTTTCCTTTAATGTCATGATGTGTACGAGTTCACCTTTCCTTTTGAGCAAGAGGTAAGCATTTCCCAGGGGTAAAGAGGAGACCACTGGTTTTTAAGAGTCACTTGATTGCCACTGAAGCTATGTTCTTTTGCTACAATGTGGTAGAATAAATTGCCTTTTATTTGTATAGTTTTAAGGAGGCCAAAAGGGAGGAGGCAACAGGGAGGCTGTGGAACTCCTTAGCAATTCCTTTGTGGAGACCCCACTTCCTTCTCTGGGCCCCTACCCCTCACCACGTAGGGCAGCTGTGTGCAGGAATGGGAAGAGAGGGGAAGAGCTCTCATTTTTCCTATGCAGAACCAGGCTCTGGACCATCTGCACACTTCGGAGGTTAAGTGAAGCACCACTGGTGAGGGATAACTTGAGTGACCCACCAGAAAAACTGCCATGCCATCCACTCAAGGCCTGGCTCAACTCTGAACTGTGCCTCTTAATTGGTCAGCTATCTTATATCTCAGGGTAATAACTAACATTTGCTCTGTAGCAGATATCTGTAATGGAGAAAAAGATAAAACCCAGAAACCCTGCATTTAGATTTTTTTTATAGGACAAAGCAGTTAGTTCTCATTTCAGAATGGCTGTGGATATTCTGCCTCTAGGCAGGGTTGGCTACCATATTGCTTGTCTAGCTGGGTTTTTTTTTTCACTCCATCCTCAACATGTAAGTGTTATGAGAGAAAGAAATACATGGGCACAACTTCAAAATGGTGCCAATTTTAGTAAAGTTTCCCAGTATTCTTGTGCCACACATAACACATTACTATAATATTTTAATACATGGAAACATTATATATTTTGATAGCTTTATTCATCATTGCTTGAACTTAATTCCAAAGTAATATGCTTTGACAGCATCCACACCAATACATCAACGCAATTTGGAAAATGCAGAACAGCCAGCTTTAACTTACCCCATGATGGCAGGTAGTGAGCCGTCTGGCTTGGTGTCATCCAAGGTTATTGAAATTGGAGCCTGTTCATCCTCAATGATCATACAACCACAATAATCTTAACCGGGAGAAAATCAACAGGAGATTGAGACCAAGCTCATCAGAGATACTCATACATACATAAATATACATAAACTATTTTTTTAAGAGGAAGGCAAATCTTAAACTCTTGGTCTTGGCCCCATCCCTAGATGCTATGTCTTGTTAAATACACACACTGAATATATAAGGATGTCTATTCACCCACAGGCAGAAAATGACCCATCTCCATCACCTTTACATAAAGGGCTTATGACCAACCAATGCATGACAAAAATGGTAAGATGACCCTGGCTCCTAGCATACATGAGGAAAGAGAAGGGATGCATTGGAGGGAACCACACCAACAATCCAGCGAAGTGGTGGCAGAAGAGAATTTGATGAGTGTAAGCAGAATGCTTATCAACAATAGCCACCATATCTGGGAAGCTTTCTAAGTCTGAGACCCCCACCTCATTTAATTCTCACAACACCTTAATGGTAGGTATTATTGTCAGCACTTTACACCTACAGACTGATGCTAGCAAGCAAGTGAAGTCCTGGAATGTGTGACTTCAATGCAGTGCTCTTTCCATGGTGACTGCTGACCTCACTCTGCTCATAAAAAGTAAGCAGTAGGACAGATGCCAGGAGCCAGGGCAATGGTGGCCTTATGAATGATATGATCTCCTTGTTCCCTTCTATTGCCAACAAATGCTCTTGGGGTCATTACATATGGCCAGGGATATGAGGAAATTGACAGACCAAGATTTCTAATCCTTTGTATATCAATTTGAAAATACTTTTTTTTTTGTTCAGGACCTTCAGTTCAATAATCCTAAAAGAGTATCATTTCTTCATATAATACAGTTTAAACATGAATAATAGCAGCCTACCCTTCTTTTTCCAGAAAGCCTCCCTGTAATACATCATGCACTTAATGACAGCTCCCATTGGAAGACGCTGAATTAACTGGTTCCTCTCTGGTGGAAGCTCTGGTCTGAAGTGAATTTTGGCCGTCAAAGTCGGGGGAATCGCACTAATTACGTATTTGCACTAAAACACACACAAGCAAATATTACCTCAGAAGTCTTTGTAGAAGGCATGAAAAATCATCTTTATCACTTTTAAACAACATTGAGCAATAAATACATACAAAATGAGAAAATGAGGCAACTGTGAGGCAACAAAACAGATCAAGGTAGGTCAACCAAGGCTGGTAATTTGGAAGACTGAGGCAGAAACATGTCAGCATTAATTATGCTACTGCTTGAATTATATCTGATTAGAAGCTACAGAAGACAGAAGGCCTATGTACTATATGCTCCTTTTGACTGAACTGAGTTACCTCATAATGTTCATGGTTCAATGTCTCTATGATGACATTGTCACTTGACTGGTCAACATGAGTGACAGGACGGTTCAGCTTCACTCGGTGCCCAAGGCGGTCCATTATCCGTTCGCTCACTTGACCAGATCCACCTACAAACTTCCGTTCCTACAGGAGGAGGTAGGTAGGAAAGGAAACGTTATGAAAGCCCAAGGAAGGAAAACCCTATTTGCTACTGATTAGAAAACCTCTAGAAAGTCATAGGCCACACCTCCAATGTTCACACATTTAACGGTCAGAAGAATTCATCAGGACAGAGGCAGAGTTGGTCAAGACAATTCAATGCTCATTCCCTGCACAGCTTCCAGCAAGGAAAAGCCATTACAAGTTTATAAAAATCACAGAATGAGAAGAAATTCTCCACTATGCCAATGCTGCCCTGACCAAGTGGGAATATCAGCAAGTCTGTGGGCTTCAAATGCCCAAAGAGTGCAGGGTATGCAGGGAGCCCTGGGAAGGGGAGGGCACTGTGCTTATCCCACAGGATGAGGTTTCTAATTTCCTTTGATTCCTCTCGTTCTGGGCTGAGGTTGTCCAGGCAGGTAAGGATGCAGATGGTGCCATATTATAGGCAAAGTTACAGGGTGCTTTTAGAGATAGTCATGTCCTACTAGTCACCACCAAATGATGTTTCTAAGAATTGGAAGACAGGCCAGGTGCGGTGGCTCATGTCTGTAATCCCAGGATTTTGGGAGGCCAAGGCAGGTGGATCACTTGAGGTCAGGAGTTCGAGACCAGCTTGGCCAACATGGTAAAACCCCATCTCTACTAAAACTACAAAAATTAGCCAGGCATGGTGGCGCATGCCTGTAATCCCAGCTACTTGGGAGGCAGAGGCAGGAGAATCAATTGAACCCAGGAGGCAGAGGTTGTGGTGAGCTGAGATTGTGCCACTGCACACTGCACTCCAGCATGGGCAACAGAGCTAGACTGTCTCGGAAAAAAAAAAAAAAAAAGAATTAGAATATCAGATCTTGAGTAACTTTTTGCAAAACTATCTGGAAGTTTCAAGGCGGAGGCAGAGGGTGAAGGCCAAGCATCTGCTTGTTCCTTTAGATATTGTTAAATAGTTCTTTTGGGCAGCCCTCGAGCACCAGAAGTGCTCCACCCACTGCCTTCTATGATCACCATGGAAATGTTTCCAGCTTAATCTAAGAAGGTAAGTCCTTAACACAATGCTTTTGGTAAGAACCAGGGGGATATTTTTAGCCTATTATAGAAGAGTCTTTAAATGGTTAGAAGTGCACGGCCCACCAGTTAACAGGGATTCCTCAATCATGCTCCTCCAGAAAAATGCATAAACAGCCATACAGTGATTTTTCCACTTTTGTAACTGGCTACTCTTTTAATGACACCACCAAAATTCTTTATAAAAAATATTCCTGGCTAGGCATGGTGGCTCATGCCTGTGATCTTAGCACTTTGAGAGGCTGAGGTGGGAGGACTGCTTGAGCCCAGGAGGCGAAGACAAGCCTAGGCAATAAAGTGAGACCCTGTCTCAAAAATTAAATTTAAAAAAGGGGGAAAAATCTCATAGTGGTTCAGACCTAAATTCATGATTTGTCCTTCCTCAAGAAACCTGTACCATTTATCTTATAATCTGGTCTATGTTTTCTAAGAGTTACTTTTAGTGTGGTGGACAGACCAGGAACTATTTCTGTCTTGTTCACTGTTCACCCCTCCAGGTCTAGTATTTGTTGAATTAAATTATATGATAAGTCTAAGTTTTTTATAAAAATGTTGTAATCATGGTTTGAGATTAATCATCTGAATCATACTTTCCAAAAGGTCATGTAGAATTTGGCTAGAAGTATCCTGGCTCCTCTGAATGAAGGACACAAATATCAAATATGAATCAAAATACCTCAGAAAGGAAAATACTGGCTAAAAGGAATAAGTTAGCATTTCTGCCTGTAAGTGAAGACACTTAAAAAATGCAAGTGTCCTGCATTCGCCAAAGCTAAGGGTCAAATGGGCAATAACTCTTGGTGTCACAAGAACTTGGGGATTTCCGGTGATCTCCTCAGGAGAGGAATAATTCACTTGGCAGAGAAAGACTCCACCTTGTACTGTGCACTCAGAATTCTGGAACTCAGAGAACCTAAGTTAGAAGCAAATTGCTACTAATTAAACCTCATACCATCCTAGTATAACATTTCTAGAACAGAGATACCCATTCTCTTTGGATAACATAAATGGTTGAAACAGAGAATCTCAGAATCTGGGGAATTAGGATTCTGGCTTCCCCACTGGTTTGCCATGTATCCAGCCAATGAGCCAAATGAGTTCATTTATTAATAAAGGAAATGATATGGAAACTGGGCAAAAGTAAGTGGGCAGCAAAAATGAAGAATCCAAAAGGCAGAATTTACTATTGCAAGAGAGGCCATAATCACTTGTGTGAAGTAGAAGGAAGAACAGTCACTTCCATTCTGTAACAGTTAACATAAAAGAATAACTCAGATAAACAGATGGGACAGAAGCCTTATATCTGGGACAGAGATGACTTTAAGTATAATAGCTGCACAATTTCTAGAATATTTTGGAAATTACTTAATATTAGGAATTTAGCTTCTACTACATAAGCAGCCTAATTTTACCTGCCATATAAAGGAAGGAACTTAATTCCCAAAAACTAATTCAAAATGAAACATTCTTTATCTGAGAACTCCTTTTTAGGAATGACAAAAGGAAATGAGAAACTGGTTCTTTTTTTCCAGAAAAGATTTTGAGATCATTTCATACTGCTAATTATTCATGTTTCAAAATACTGCAGCAATTATTAAAGACGCTGCCCTGGGAGAAAGCAAAATCCCAGATGAAGCGCTTGTTTCAGAACAGACACACGCACCATACCTGGCCGCCATTGGTGACAGAGAATATCCGAGTGGTGCCCCCGCACTGCTTCACATACCATAAAAACCATAGAACTGACACTTCGTGGGGCTCAGAGGTCACATTGATATTCACAAAAAGAGAAGCAAAACGCCTAGCAGTCCTGTTCACAGAACAAAAGTAGAAGTCAGGTGTCAAGATGTACAGGAATCAGAGAATGTCATGTTTTTAAAACACTATTTGGTGTGTTCAGAAAGTATTTCTATTGCAATTGGAAAAAAAAACCCTCAAAGATTCAATTTCTGAAGGAATGCATTTTATAACTCTTGAGGAGACTAAAGTTTTCTCCTGCTATTAAGAAATTATGAGTTTGCTCCAAATATGCTAATCTAGGTTCTCTCTAAGGGTCAATATGCTTGTTTCAACACCCATCCTCTCCTCTCCATCTTCATTGCCATAGCCCTGGTCCAGGCTACCAATATGTCCAGGTGGCTCCTACTTGGTCATCCTATATTACCTCTTGTATCCTCCACACTACAGCCAATGAGGTCTTTTAAAAGTGCCAAACTCAAAAAACCCTCTGCTTAAAACCCTTCAATGACCTTCAACGGAGAAAGGACAAATCTTGAATATGGCCAATAGATCCTGCACTATCAGCCTCTAGACACGTCCTACAAACTCCCCTTATACCACTTGCTCTTGTCATCACTATGGTCCAGCTACACTGTCCAATCAGTTGCTCAAACATGCCAACATGCTTCTCACTTCAAGGCCTTCACAAAAGCTCCTCCCTGTCCCCTCTGCCTAGATGATTACATCGCTGTATATCATCCACCCGTCCCTGTCTCCCCACTCCCCTGCGAACTTTGGGTTATTCTTGAAAGATACGATTCTCCACACTTCATCCAACCTTTTCTGTCTCTTTGCGTACCTCTGGGTAATTTCTGGAAGGCAGCATCCTGCCATACACCATTGACTCTTCCTGTTTACCTGCTACTCCTCTGGTTCATTTCTGGATGGTACAATTGCCCCCAAAACATACAGCTTTCCCTATCTCCCCTCAGCAGTTGTGTCTCATTCCTAGAAGACAATACCCATGCAAACACATTTTCTATCTTCTCATGTTCCCACTGACTCTGAGAGTCATGCCTACTAGATATCATCTGCCTACACCACTCAATCTTCCTATCGCCACCCTAATACTGTGGGTGATTTTAGGATATCATTACCTCCCCATGCCCCTCCCCCAACAAATTCAACCTTCACCATCTCTTCCAGAGCTTGTGTCACATTCATGGAAGATATAATTCCCCTAATACTGTCCAATCTCCCCAATCTCCCCCTTGCACCTGTGGGCCATCACTGGAAGATATCATCACCTCCACACCATCTACTCTTGCTGCCTCCCCTCTAAACCTATGGCTAATTCCTGGACTATACCATATACCAACACCATCCAATCATAATGTCTCCCCTCAAGCCCTCATGGCTCATTCCTGGAAGATGTATCTTGCTACGGCATTCCTGTATTCCTGTCTCCCCCAGTCTCTGCTATGTCATTCCTGAATACCACCCGCCCACAACATCCATCCTTCCTGCCTCTCCCTACCACTACCCGTGTGGTTCATTCCTAGAAGATACTATCTCTCTAAACCGCTGTCTCCCCATGTCCTTGTGGGCCGTTCCTGGAAGATACCATCCTTCCATACCATCTACTCTTTTTGTCTCCCCAACCACCATACCTGTGGTTCTCTCCAAAGCCAATTCATGCTGTCTCTTGCTTCTCCTGTGGGTCATTCCTAGAAGACACCATCTCCCCACACCACCCACATTTCCTGCCTCCCCTAGTCACCACCTGTGTGGTTCATTCCTAGAAGATACCATATTGCCACACCATCCAGCCTATTTCCCCCCTACTCCTGAGTCATATCTGGATGATACCACCCCCTCCCTAAGGCATCTACCCTTTCCTGTCTCCCCACAGTGCTTGTGTCACGTTCCTGAAAGATACTATACCCCTATACAAAACTATCCACTCCTCCCTGTCTTTCTGTTAGATATCATCCCCAGTCCCGTGTCCCCCCAAAGCACCACCAGTGTGGTTCATTCCTGGAAGATACCATCCTGCCACACCATCCACACTTCCTGTATCCCCCAGAACTCTAACCACCCTTGTGGCAGATTGCTGGAAGATACCATCTCTTAAATCCAGTGTACTGTTACCTGCTGACTCGGTGGGTCACTCTAGGAAGATACCATCAACATCTACCTTCCATCCTGTCTCCACCCCCACTACCGCAAGTGTGGCTCATTCCTGGAAGATAACATCCTGTCACACCATGCAAGCTTCCTATTTTCTCCCTACCCCTCTGGGTCATTTTGAGATGATATCACCACATCTCCCCTTCCATTTACCCACAGTGACTTATACCACATTCCTGAAAGATACTATCTCATCCCCCCCCCCCACCCAACACTTCCACCTTGCCTTGTCTACTCTTTTGGGTTACTAGGAAGATGCCATATCCACATACCTCTTCCTGTGTTCCCCCCCAAGCACCACCAGGGTGGCTTATTCCTGGAAGACACCATCTCTCAAAACACAATCCACCCGGTATCCCTCTGCCCCTTTGGGTCATCCCTGGAATATACCATCATGGTCACCTTCCACACTTCCTGTCTGAGTCCCACTCCTTTGGGTCATGGATGGAAGTTATCTCCCCCACCACTCCCAACTCTTTGGGTCACTCCAGGAAAAACCATTCCTGCCAAAAAGTCAATGTTCTCTGCATCCCCTGGCTCCTGTGGACCATTCCTGGGCAGTACCATTCCACCTCACCATCCACTTTTCGCGTTTCCCTACTGTCCCTGTGACTCATTCCTGGAAAATATACCCTGCCACACCAGTCATGCTTCATCTCCCTGTCCTGTCTCTCTGGGTCATTTCACAATGATACCATGCCAGCCAACATCCCCCTGATGGTCTCCCCCACCACTCACAGTGTTGCTCATTCCTGGAAGATACCATCCTGTCACACCATGCAACCGTCCTATCTCCTCACTACCCCTCTGATCATTTCAGGATGATACCACACCCTCCCCATCTTCTAGGCTTCCCTGTTTCCCTGCAGAGCCTTTGTCACATTCCTGATGTGACCCCCCCTCCAACACTAATCCTCTGGCTCATTCAATGATGATATCATTCCCCCACACTTCTTCTCTTACTGTTTTCCCCCACCACTACCCAAGTGTCTCATTCCTGGTAGATACCATTTTTCTATAAACCCAATGTACCCGTCTCCTCTGCGTCTGTGAATCATTCTTGGAAGATACCCTCCACCCATACCTTCTGCCATCCCCACCACTGTCATTTTGGCTCATTCCTGGAAGATGCCATCCTGCCACACCATCTAACCATTCTATCTCCTTGTTATCCTCTTGGTTATTTGGGGATGATACCACCTTCTTCCTAAAACATCTACCCTTCCCTGCCTCCCTGTAGTACTTGTGTCACACCCTGAAAGATACTGTATACCCCTTATATTCCTTATATTATCCAGTCTGCCTTGTCTCCTCCTTGGCTCTGTGGATTATCTTGGAAGATACCATCTCCCTATCTCATCCATCATTCCCCCCTCCCCGAATTCTGTAGTTCATTAATGGAACATACCATCTCTTCTACTGTATTCATCCTTCCTATCTACCTTCTGCCCTGTGGATCATTCCTGTAAAATAACATTCAGTCAAACCATCTACCCCACCAGTCTTCTCCCGACCCCAGTGGGTCATTCCTGGAAGATACCATGCCCCTCACGACCCCACCAGTGTGGCTCAATCCTCCTAGAAGATATCATCCTGCCGCACCATCCTGTCTCCCCCATCCCTCTGGGTCATTGCTGTAAGTTATCTCCATCCACAACGTCTACCCTTCAGTTTTCCCCCATGACCCTGTGGATCATTCCTGGAAGATTTCATTTCATCAAATCATCTACCCTGTCTTCTCCCACACCTGTGATTCATTCCCATAAGATATGTCCTACCACACCAGTCAGGCTTCCTGTCTCTCCCTTCTTCCTCTGGGTCATTCTTGAATGATATCATCCCAGCCAACATCCACCTTTCTTATCTCTTTCTGCCACCACCAGTGTGGCTCATTTCTGGAAGATACCATCCTGACACACCATGCAACCGTCCTATTTATCCACTATTCCTCTGGGTCATTTTGGTATCACTCCCTCACAAAACATCTACCCTTCCCTGTTTCCCCCCAGAAACTTAGTCACATTCCTGAAAGAGATAGCCCTGTCAACACTATCCACTCTGCCCTACTTCCCGCTACCCTTGAGGGTTATCATGGAAGATACCATTTCCCCTACCATCATTCATCTTACTCTCCCAACCTTGTGGGTCACACCTGGAAAATATCATCTTGCCTCACCTTCCCCACTTCTTGTCTCTCCCAGCCTTCTGTGTCATTACTGGAATTTATTCCCCAAAACATCCACCCTTGTTATTTCCCCCCAACCTTTTGAATTGTTCTAGGAAGATACCATGTCCCTAGTCAGGCCAACATTCCCTGTGTCCCCTTAGCCCATATGCGTCATTCCTTGAAAATATATCCTGCCATGCCATTCATGATTCCTAACTCCCTACTGACCCCTTTGGTTCATTCCTGTATGATATCATCCCCAGTATCCACCCTTCCTGTCTCCCCCCACCACTACCCTTTTGGCACATTCCTGGAAGATACCATCTGCCTAAACTTATTTCCCTGACTTCTG